AAAATTGTGTTCCTTTCGCCTTTCTTCTTTGTAAAATGGAAAACCGCAGCCCAAGCAGTAGTTCGCAAGGTCTGAGGATGATTGGGATGATGCGATGTCATGGCTGGCACTGGCTGATTAAGCTGAGGTTGAAGCTGCAAGCCAGCATTTGGGCAGCTCAGAGGCAGGTTTGTTTTCTTGGCTCAGCAGGTTGCAACACAAGCCGCTTTCCAGATCCCACTCTGCCATGGTCTCGAATCCCTTTTTTCCCGACACCAGTTCCCCCAATAGCACGATCTATCACCCAAACTGTTCCTTAAGTGTTCACACGTCCACAGTACACATAGGAGCAAGAAGCTACTAGTAACAAGGGCATCGCTACTAGTAGCAAGGACGCTACTAGTAGCTCCTGGTTCGATCCAATCCAATTCTGCGCCTCCCATGCGCTGCACTGCATGCGCTTCGTGCTGAAGAGGTGTAACCTGACGCGTTGTCAACTGGGCCAGGCGGGCTGAAATGCTTTTTGCGGGTTGGATGTTTTTGGTTTGGTCTGTGCAGTTTGGTTTCTGAAGAAGGAACATTTAGAATAGCAAGACATCATACTTGCTTTGGCTTATATACACTCCTTTGCTAATTGTCCTGACATCGAGAATGCTGCAAAATTTGCAATTAGGTTGCAACTGCAGCTTTAGTTGATGAAACTTCATGCTGTTGAGTGGCAGTTGATGCCTAGTCCTTTGGTGGATGGGTGGTAGTTGCCCAAGGTTTCAATAGCAAGTCAGAGGCAGTCAAATTGCTGATGGGAAGGATGATGCAGTCTTTTGTGAGCTACTGGTTGCCAAAACACAGCGAGTTGCATAACATGCTTGTATTCAAGTCGGTGTGCTGACAAAAACAACTGCAAGGGCGGCTTGAACATGATATCAACTGTCTCATCAGCAACCCAAGTTGGGTGGCACATGCGCGATGGTTCCACCCAATCTAATACGTTCAATGTGCAGATGCATCCACGTATACATATACATATACATATATATTATATCTCCAGATTATTGTTATTTCTTTGGATTTGTGCCTTTTAGAAGACTAGATGAACACACACATCCAAACGGTTCATGTTCAACATGCCGCGGCTTTTGAGCACTCAGGGTTGCATATGCTACTCTCGAGATGGGGGCTGTGTGGAGACTTTCGGGATGAGCTTCATGTCCGGTTTCTTGCGATGTGAAGTAGAAGGATGTATATAAGGCATATAGATGTATCTAGTTCGTTCCAGGGCCCTGGGTGGTCTTCTTTTCTTCACTTCCTCGTTCGCCTCAGGAAGCTCTGGAAGGCCAGCTCGAGAAGCTGCAAGGGGCTGGCGTCACCCTACACGCGCGAGTGCCCAGACCAATCGGTCTCCTCCTCTCCTCGTGCTCACGGAAACGATCGCCGGAGACGGGAGACTCGGCGCTTTGGGGTTTAGGGCGGTCCCTTTTGGACGTGGTCATCCATGATCCACACAGCAGGTTTGGGGCGGTTTTGATAGGAGGTTTGGTTTGGGTCCATTTCTGTTCATGCTGAGTTGGTCAGAATAGGGACACGCTATGACACGTATGGATCTTGAGCCGAAGTGACCGCTTACCACGGTGCGGAGAAGAGGCTTCGATTCGCATCACTTCGTCGGTCCGTGTGGTGAAGGCTTCCAACCCACCGACCACTGGACGTCCCCAGACCCACGTCGACGCCATGCCTGGACTCCAACTGACATGCTGGATGCGAAGGTCTTCAGAGCTCTATACACTTTATCATGTAGACTCTTGATTAAATAATAAACCCTCCCAAGAGTCTACATTAGATGTTATATGGTGTTAAGACATCCTTGGAAGTCCCAAGAAGCTCCCGATCGCATGTTCAGCTTCCGACCAGGACGAATCCTTTGTTTGTGTTGTCGGACAGCCGAATCTCATACGTCAATGTTTCAAGCCGATTCATGTCCAGACCGATCACCGATGGCGCTTGATGTCTTCGGGAAAAGAATACTTTCTATTTTTTCTTTTTTAAACTTTAACGTGTGTTTGTTTTGTTCCTTTTTACAATGAGTTTTTTCCAAGCAGGAGGTCCGCCCTCCACCGCTTCCTTCACCGAAATTCCGTCAAGAAACTGCTTGGCCCCTCCAATTTTGGACATGCTCAGCTGGATTTACCAGGAAATGGATCCCTTCAGCTCCCAATTGTCCTGCGCGTCGCCCCATCTCCACGGTGAGGAGCATAGACTCGTCCCATCAACCGGGGAGTTCCGATGCAATGGAGTTCCGAACGCGTGGCAGGAGTTTGCTTCAAGGCTTCAAAGTGGGAAGACTGAGGAGGAATAGAGACGTCCGGAGCTCTAGTCAGGCATCCGACCAACGAAAAGGTTGAAAAGTGCACGAGTAGGGGATTGCCCCGGCCCAACTTGTTGCTGGATAGTGTGGACTTCCGCTGGTTCGAACTGAATCCTGAAGGTTCCGGTGGGATAGTCAGACTGAAGTTCTGGAGAGAGGCTCAAAGGCAGCCATTCTCGCGGAAGTCGCTTGCAGCTGTTCCTGATGGCTCATGACTTGTCTCAACTTGCTTCCTCACGTGTTCAGTGAAATGCAGGGCTCTGAAGCCTCAAGACTCATGGCCTTTGCGTTGAAACACAGAAATATGCTGAACCTCCCAAGTAGCTTTGCAGTGCACTGGCGTGCACCGGCATCTCCAAGCCCATCTCCCCGATCTTGCTCCTGTGTGCAGGGAACAACTCTTCATCACATCCTGAGTTTCTCATCACGACCATCATTCAGGATATATATATATACATATATGTAGCTATATATATATATCTTTATATTTACTTTGGCCGCCGATGGAAGTACTTTCAGCATCGAACTTTTGAACTCCCAAAGCAAAGCGTACATGGAGTGTGCTTGAACTCCCAATGAACAGGGATGAACTAGAAGCTGCCTGAAGCAGGGCTTTATGGCATGTTGTTTCAATCATCTACTTTCCTCAACCCGAAAAGCATTGCACTTCTGCGGCGCCTGCGGCGCCTGCGCAGCTGTGTCACCCTGGGGTCTTTGTCATCTCAAAGAGATGGACAGTCGCCCTGGGCGACAGACGTAGGGGCTTGGTAGACAGACTTGGAGGAGTCTGACATCCCACCATCTCCCACCGACCATCACAGTCTTAGTCCCACCATGTCGCAAAGCCCCACCTTTGGAGGATAGATTTTTTGCAGTCTCAAGAATACATTCGGCTGGTAGTGTTGAAAACAAATACTATATATATATATATTATATATGTAATATGATTGTGTGTAATTATATATACTTGCATGGTCCTGATTGATTCTATGAAAACGTTTTGTGAACGAGGTCTGAAAGGAAGGCCTGAAGCTTTGTGAACCAACAAAGGACATGTTCCATAGATTCATAAAATGAACGGAGCCACACCTTTTCTGATTTGCCCCGTGAATTGCCCCATGTTTACCCGCTTTGACGAAAGACAGAACACTCCTTTTTCCCCTATGCGACGATAATCGCGGCTTCCTTGATATCGAAGGCTGTTTCACCGGAAGAAAGAGCTTTCCATGAAGAAGTCGGTGGGTGTTGCGCGCTTTTCTAGGCAATGCTCGAAGAAAACATGACCACAAGAATTCCGTGCGGCTCAGTCCAATCCAAGTTCTGTGCCTGGCCCTGGCCTGTTAGAGAGCCAATGGGTTCCTCTTGTGGCCCAATGTCATGGCGATGACAGCTCTTGCTGCTTGGCTGAGTTTGCGTTTGGGATCTAAAGCCCCAGCCAATGACAAACACAAATACATAGGTAGGATCAACATATGAGATATTGATAGATGTCAATTTGTTGTTTTTTTTAAATAATGTTCAATCAACATTGGGTTGATCCTACTTTATGACAAAGCGGACACGTTCTTCTCATGTGATGGTATACCCTCTCTGGAAATATCATGGAAGCCGAACATGGACCCTTGGATGACCATTATGACGACCATTTTCCGAATACCTAACCCGTGGCATTTTTCACTTCCATGATGATCCAGGGAGTGTGGTTGATGCTAGCCTAGGCTTTCTCCAGATGTTGATTCACACACCTTGGCCTTTCTCGACTCGCATGAAAAACTAGAAAAGAAGAACTGGCTGAGCACAGACCCTATAAATATGATGTGCTTCGGATCCTTGGTGTGTGGTTCTTTTTTTCTCCGCATACGACTAAGAACCTACAAGAAGCGGAAAAGGACAAGCAGATAGGATGCTAGAAGAGGATTTTTCAACAAATCTCCACAGATCTGCCGCGAAAAAGTAAAAAGACAAATCTAATCTCCTCACATCAGGGGTGGATCAACAAATCTCCAGATCAGATCTTCACTGGTCTCACCTCTTTGGGACCTCCATCCGGAAGCCCACCTTCGTGGCCATCGCAAGCCGGGTCCGCAGCTCCCGAGGTCGGCAGCTCTGCGCCGAATCCGCGGAAAAAAGCGCCGATTCTGCCGAGGTTGGGAGGTCGGGGAGGTGTTGAGTGCAACGCGGACAGTCAGATGTTGGACGTGTTCAGAGTCTGGTGTTGACAGCCCCGGAGTTGGCTGCAAAGTGTAAACTCAACGCCATGTTGAGTTTTGAGGTCCTCTCAAGAGATCTCAAGAGATCCAGTGCAGCTTGATTGTAAAGTCAGTTCCTTCTCGCGCTGACTTGCTCTTGAGGTGGCTTTATATAGTAGAGGGGACTGAAACCATTTTCCACCCAGATATGACCTACGTTCTCAGCACCGTAGCTTGGCTTCAGGATCAGCAGCTTCTTGAGCAGCTTCTTGAGTTTGGCAGCAACAAATGGACACATCTAAACCTGCGGCTTGCAAAACTGTTTGAGTGTGCATGCAGGTACAAAGTTACGTTCAACCTTGTCCATGCAAGACAGTCTCTTTGGATTGGAACATCGCCATGTTTGGACAGAATGTATCGTTTATTTGGTGTCGTAGAAGGGTCGAAATTTGGAAGTTTCTGCACGTTCACCAAACCTGAAGTAGTGATCATATTCACACATCGCGACACCTGACATGCCTGTGTGGCAGAATGTGAACCTCAAACAGAAGGTGCCTCGGCTTCGGTTGAGAAAAGGCCAGTCACAGCTGCTGGTCCAGAACTTGGCCTGAAGATGAACCTCCAGCAACTCTCAATGACCTTCGGTTGCTTTTGCTGCCACAGGCAGGTTCAACAAAAAACACGACAAACGCCAGGGGTTCGCAAGCGGATGTGTATCTATCTCGCACCGCGAGATGTTCACTCATTCATTCATTCATTCATTTCATGTCATGTCATGTCATTTCATTTCATTTCATTCATTCATTTCATTCATTCATTGCATTCATTCATTTCATTCATTCATTTCATTCATTCATTTCATTCATT